AGTTATTGACAATTGAAAGAAAACACGGCTTATATTTTTGAAAATAATTTTTAAATGTTTACGATTTACAATGCATATCAAATAAAGTTTTATTTATTATACAATATTTATATAATGATTGCATAATATGTAAGAAATTAATTTGGCACTTATTTTCATTTTCATATTATTTATAATAAAAATCATTAATATAAAAATGATAAAAACAAATGCAAAGTCTTTGGTAGTCATTGATGATTATATTCACATCTACTCTGTTTAGCATTACATTTCATATCACATGAATATATTGTATAACTTATAAAAATTAAAATAAATTCTATTTATTTCAAAAAAATTTATAAGTATATTATATTTGGTTATTTCACTATTTATTAATTTTGCTAATTTATAACGATTTAAAGTTTAAACTTTAAACCATATTGAGTATTGAGAATACAGTACAATCTCTCTATAAGAAACGGCCAGTTGCATGGCAAAAGTGTTTCCCCAAGAGAAGTTTCCCTAAGAGAGGTTGCATTGTATAAAATACATTATTTATCATACATACAAATTAATTAAATAATTTCAACAAATATAAAGTATTATCGATGAAATACATGGATAATAGTTAACAGTAATATTATGAAAAATGTTTGGTATTTCTGTGCATTGTATTGAAAACACCGGAAATAATGATTCACTTAAAGAGTTATTTTATTTTTAGTTTTGTATTTAATTCTCGGAAAGATTCTTACAATATGTACAAAAAAATTAAAAGTTTAAAAACAAACAAAACTTTTTCATAAAATTGTGAAATACACCACAAATTGCACACTTGTATTGTATGTCAAAACCATGTGAGAAAATACAGTACAATAATTATATTTAGCATTGCGTGTCATTACATTCCCGTTAAGGTCTTCCCAAATAACAGATTCAATACAATATAGATTCCCATCAAAAACTCTCACTATATATAAAATATATCAAAAATATTGATATTAATTTACAAACAGTATATTTAACAAAACTTCTTATCAATAGTCAATTGAACACAATTAATGGTATTATGGTTTCAATGGGTTCTGAGGCACAGAACCATATGATATCTTGAAATATGTGTTTTTTATCAAAAGCATAACTTTTCAGAAAAAATAGTAAAATTATTCTTTAGACAGGAATTCAAATGTACTGTCATTTCAATGTCATTAATGTGCGAAAACTTTACTCCCAGTAATGTTTGCTCCAGTTTTTCACAGCAATCACTAAATGAAGGGTTAAATTGTTATTAGAAAATATAGCAATTAGTCTTCGGTAAAAGTAAACTTACTATTTATAAAAAAAATTAATGTTTTATTAAATATAGTTTCGAAATGTGATTAATTTAATAAAATTGTAAGTTTTTGATGAAAATACTTATTTTTGATGTGAGTTTTTGATGTATAATCATTGAATGGATTACTTTTATTTTTACAAACCTTGAAAGTGCTTAAGAATTTGTTATTTTTGATAATTTTATTTTTTAACTATTCAAATAACTTTTATAAAACAATATACGTTTAATAAATATCTATATATTATTGTAATTGAGAAACGGGTTTTTAAATACTGAATTCTCTGGAATAATACCCAGGGATACAAAATGGGAATAACCAGAACAACTTCATCCCAAAAATGATATTAGCATTTGTTTATTTCAAACAAAATAATATTTGAGCATAAATTCGCTATAAGTTATATAACATACAGTAACTGTTGTATTATAGTGTAATAGGAATTGTATTATTTGATGTAAACTTCTTAAGCATAACTCTATTTCAATGTTAAATGTGTTTCTTAAACCCATAATTATGGTTCACTTTCCCCTCCCTTTTGATGCTCTAAATGATATATTATGTCATTAATAATACATTTGATGAAACATACAATTAACGGATGTCTCAAATACCTTAAATATATTTGTTTGACATTCATATAATAACAAAAGCCATAATTCTGTATAATATTTTTTTATGATTCCCAAAATTTTATGTACAACAATTTTAACTTATTTTCTGGAAGCTATAAACAATTGACATAAAATGACAAAACTATTCAATTATATTTATATGTATTTGTAATTCTTGAGTATTAAATCATTTATTTTACAAAGAAATTGAGAATTAGAAGTACTCTCTAATGTAAATGAAGTGATTATAAAGAATATAATGTGAAGAAATAATATAATAATTATCGTATAGTTTCATAAATAAATTCATCAAAGGATTCATTTTCGAAACCAAACTTATTATTATTATTAATATGTATAAAGTAAATGATTATTAACATCTATAAACAATTAGCTTCTCTATAGTTAAATAACATATAAATATTTATATTTAAAAACTAACAAATTAGATGTTTAGTAAAAATGGGCAAATGTTTTAAAAATTAATTTTATAAAAACCATGGATTGCATGAATTCTTGTAATACTATTCGATAACTTCCTATTAATGTTATTATGATATGACACGAATTGTATCCAAAATGCACCCATTCCTAGGATATTAGCGTTTATAAGGCAAACGTTTACAACAAATTAATAAATATTTTAATATTTTAAAATAATAATATATCCAAACATCTATACAAAAGTAATATTAATATTCGTGGTATTGATATATCATTATTCAATACTAAATTCCCAATTACTTTGAATGTCAATAGTCTTGGAGATAAGCGTTATGTGATATAAGTTTCCGGTCTATTGCCTCCTATACTAGTAATTCATATCATATTTTATCTCATATTCCCTTAAAAAGACACAATTTTTATGAGAAATTCCTGTTTTTTATAATAAAATTCAAAACTTTTCGAAAGAAACAAAAAACTTTAAAAGTGTTGATTATAAGTGAATTCAACCGCAAACCCGTCTCTCAATCGCCAACTTATCTTTCGATACGTTTATACCAAAAAATAAAGCATTTAATAAAGCAATGCATTGGTATTGCATTGCATGGCATACCTGTGCCCTCACTCTCACGCAATCCAATACAAGCACAGCATTTGAATGCAACTGCTGTACAAAATCTGTACAGTAAAAGCCTAACTGTCATACCCTATACCCGGCCATCACATAAACTCCTAGCATTCACTAACCCTAAGATTTTGCGCTCACATATAACGTTACCCACATTGGGGGCAATGGGAATGGCAATTACGGGAAAGTTTTAAAGTTAATACATTCATTGAATTAACAGTAATATTGATTGGGAGTGTTTCAAGAAATTCTAACTTGGATTTTGTTTCAAAATAGTAGTAACAGGTTATTATACTGTACAGTAATAACTCATTATTAGTAAAAATAGGATTACTAAATTATTTCACATATTTTAATCACCAACAATTGTGAATACAGTATTAACTAAATGACTTTCTCTCAACAAACATTCATTTAATTAAATTAAATTTTAATTGATTATAAAAAGAAATCAATTACTTTGTTATGATAAACTTATTTATTAAACTGTTCGGAAAATGTTGTATGATTCATTATAAAAATATTAAATGTATCTATCTAATTGTATGATGCTCATTTTATTTGATATTGGTTTAACACAACATAATTATGTAATGCATTATTGATTACGGTAACACATATGACTCCCAACGAATACGTGGACAACTTTTAGTGGTCATTATTGGGGGACAAACACAGCGAATGGCAAAGGGATGGCCGGAAATTGCGGAATGCTATCTAAAACGGGGCACTGTTTGAGGAGATGATGTGTACTGTAATGGTTGGATGGGATGCGGTATAGACTGCACTTGCGTTAGCACTTCAAGTGAAAGGGCGTTGTTTTCAGTGTTTCAGTCGAGTGTCTGATAGCCGAGTGCTTTGACTGTATGTGTATTGAGTGCTATATTATAAACGCTATGACTGTATGACTGTTGTGATGATGAATGCATTCTCTATACAAATGATTCATTCGTTCATTCATTCAATCATTTAATTTGATTACAATTTAATTCATTCATTGTTTTGATATTTAGTTTTGAATTCTGTTTGTAAATCACTATTTCATACATATTTGTGGTGTTTGTGTGGAGATGTGTTGACCCAAAGCGTTGACATCCAATCAATGCATATATCGTGCGCTCATATTGTGGTCGATGTATGAGAAGTGCAATCCATTTGACGGTTAAGTGATATGAATAAGTGGTCCGAAATGAAGACATTTTGGGCCGCAATCCTATTGGTGGCCGCATTGGCCGACACGTGGTGTCCACTCGTGTCCGCCACTCATCACCGATACTCGAAGCGCGTGGAGAAGCGATCGGTTCGGCCGACGAAGAGCTATGAGTTTAAAGAGTCGGACGGATCCGTTCAGGGGATGACTGTCTTTCAATTGGACAAAAGGATCGCCGAAGAGGTGTTCAAAATAGAGACACCGAACCGATGGGTGACCGTTGACCAGAACGGAGCCGTCAAAGTGAAAGAGGTCTGGGATTACGAACAGCTCGGGAAGGAGAAGACCATCGACTTCTGGGTCTACGCTCAGGGGCCGCACATCACAGGTTTGTGTCCACCATTTGATGCCCTCATCTCATGGTTTTGAGTGCATTTCATTCAACTCTTTTTGTGTCTCCAGAACTCGAGCGCCAGAGGATTATTGTCCACTTGAAGGATGTGAACGACGAGAATCCATACTTCATAAACAGACCGCTGCCGATGCAGGCGGTCGTCCAACTGAACGCCCCGCCGGGCACTCCTGTGTTCAAACTGCAGGCACGCGATCCCGACACCGATCACAACATTCACTACTTCTTGATTAGAGATCGAAGTGAGAGACCATTGAAATTGAATTTATGGCACATTTATTAACAATATATTTGAATCTATAGCCGGCGGACGGTTTGAAGTGGACGAACGCAGCGGCGAAGTCCGCACCCGCGGCACAGAAGCGTTTATGTTAGACAAGGAATACGTGCTGTACGTGAAGGCCGAGGACCACAACGGACCCACTGGTGATCGACAGTTCCAGTCCACAAAAGAGGAGCGCCTGTCGATTATGGGCGGCAAAAGACCGCCACAATTCTATTTACCCCGATATGAGTCAACCATTCCTGAGAATCAGCGCAAAGATTCCGACATAATTGAAGTGAAGGCCAAATCGTTTGCCGATCGAGACATCAGATATACACTGCGAGCTCAGGGCAAAGGCGCCGGAACTTTCAATATCGGTCCGACCACTGGAATCGTCAAACTCGCCAAAGAGCTCGACTACGAAGAGCTCAGACAACCGAAAACCTATTCCCTGATTGTGACGGCGACTGAAGATTCCGGTGGTTTCTCCACATCAGTCGAGTTGACCATAAAAGTGACGGACGTTAACGACAACGCGCCTCGATTTGAGTTACCCGACTATCAGGCGCACAACATCGACGAAGACATACCTATCGGCACTTCCATTCTTCAGGTGTCCGCCAGTGATTTGGATACCGCAAAGAACGCCGAAATTGTCTACTCTTTGGGTCGCGAAGAGTTCACTATCGATGAGAAGGGAATCATTTATTCCAATAAACGACTCGACGCCGACATAAACAACACGTATGTGTTGACAGTGAAGGCCACAGATAGGGGCGATCCGCCGATGACGGGAACGGCAACCGTAAGGGTTTACACGGAAAACAAAAACGACGAAACGCCGAAATTCAGTCAAGACGTGTACACACCTAATGTGGACGAAAACGCCGGACCAAACACTTTAGTGACAACAGTAGTGGCCAGTGATAAAGACGGCGATAACATTCACTTTGGGTTCGTCGGCGGCGGAACCACTTCCGGAATGTTTACCATTGAAGAGCGGACGGGAGTTATACGACTGATTCCCGGGGAGATAGAGTTGGATAAAGACAAATACGAGTTGAATGTGACGGCCAGGGATGACGGCTCCTGCTGTAAAAACGGAGCGCTCACTACACACACGAGCACCGCATTAGTGGTCGTATTCATCACTGATGTGAACGATAATAAACCCATTTTCGAAGAGTGCAGTCTATACGACCCTAAAGTAGAAGAGGGCGCCCCCAGCGGTACACCCGTTGTCACAGTGAAGGCCACCGATCAGGACAAGGGCCACAACGGACAGGTCCGCTACTCTATCGTCCAACAGCCCAACCAAAAGGGAACCAAATTCCTTGTGGACGAAGTGACCGGAGAAATAAAGACCAACAAAGTGTTTGACCGCGAAGGAGATGACGGCCGCTTCGTTAGTGTCACCGTTAAGGCTGTGGACAGGGGTTCGCCACCTTTAGAAGGCGTCTGTTCTTTTAAGGTATGTTTTTATTCATTCATTGATTTATAGATTTCTAGATAACAGACAAAAGGATATGATTTCCTTTGGATTGTCTTTTCATGAATTGGCTATAAATTGTGATTCAATTGTGATATCTATTGAAGCCATAAAATAAGGATTATTTGTGACAAAAGTTGTGTTCAGATTAATATAAATGAGCGCCTCTTTTAAGGACAGGCATTGAAAACACTTATTTGCCAGAAATGTAAAGACTGGAAGTGTTATACTCTCTAATGAATGGTCTATAAGAGGATTAATGCAGACTTTTTTATTAATAAGAAATAGCAGTTGCGATAAAAATACGTGAAAAGTGTCTTTTCTAACACAAAAACACGATTTTCTTCTCAAATACGTAAGAAAAGTATAGAAAAATTTGAGATCAAAGTATCATTAGTTTATGTTATGATTTATTACACGTGAAGTGATTAAGCATTTAAATGACAATTAAATTGTAAATGAATTATAGGTTGAAATAACTGATATCAACGATAATCCGCCGCTATTTGATCGACAAGAATATAAGGAGAATGTAAAACAAGACACTCCTATCGGCACTAATATACTACGAGTCTCGGCCTCTGACGAGGACGCGGACAATAACGGCGCCATTACTTACAACTTAACCGCTCCTAACGAGCGCTCAGACATTGATTATTTCGCTATAAACCCTGAGTCGGGTTGGATTATGCTTAAGAGACCACTCGATAGAGATCAGTATCACTTGCGAGCCATTGCCACAGACAATGGGTTCCCACAACATCGGGCGTCCGTAGAGATAGTGATCGATGTGGTCGATCGCGCCAACAACCCTCCCATTTGGGATCAACCCGTTTACGGACCCATTTCTATCCGTGAAAATCTAGACGTCGGCCGAAAAGTGATTTCAATCAAAGCGCGTTCCGGTATTCCCGACAATCCCACAGTTTTCTACTCATTAATGAGAGGCGGAACCGAACAGACAAATAAAAGGGACAGTTTTTACTTAAGTCAACGGCTGGACAACGGCTTGACGTGGGCTGACATTCACGTCAATTATCCGCTCGATTACGAAAAGATACAACAATACAACCTAACGGTTCGCGTCGAGAACAACGGCATTCAACAGTTGGCCTCTGAGGCCACAGTTTATATAGTGCTCGAAGACGTGAACGACGAGATCCCGCTCTTTATTGAGAGAGAACAGGAGACTGTGTTGGAAGGTATGCCTCCGGGAACTAAAGTAACGCAAGTGCAGGCCATCGATAGGGACGGCACGTATCCCAACAATAAAGTCTATTACGGAATCGAACCCAAGGATGGAAGCGATAAGTTCTTCTCCATAGATCGCGAAACGGGAGAAATCTATACGAAAGCCGAGTTCGATAGGGAGGAGAAACAGGCGTACGCTATACTCGTTCGGGCAGAGGATGGCGGCCCCTCTGACAGGCCTAACATGAAGCCCAAAGAACCCAATTCTGTGACCAAATATATCAGAATAGGAATCGGAGACAAGAACGACAATCCGCCCTATTTTGACCAACAGTTATATGAGGCAGAAGTGAACGAAGACGAAGACATTCAGCACACAGTCATCACCGTTACGGCCAAAGACAAGGATGAATGTAAGTGATTGAACCGCCCTTTATATGCTCATATCATACAATTGTATCGATGTTTAGCTTCTAAAATCCGTTACGAGATAACACGTGGTAATCAGGGCGGAGCGTTTGCCGTGAAGAACGAGACGGGAGCCATCTATGTCGCCGGACCTCTCGATTACGAGACCCGCAAAGAGGTACTGTTCTCTCCTTTTGTCTCAAGTTTTGTTTGGTTTTGATTTTGTTGACCGTTTGGGTTGTAAATGGAGTTTTAAACTAAAGAGCGTAAGTAAGGGATGAGTTGCCTCTTGTATTGCAGTATAAGCTCCGTTTGGTTGCTTCCGATAACCTGAACGAGAACTACACGACTGTTGTCATACACATCAAAGACGTGAACGACAATCCGCCGACCTTTGATCGGCCCACTTATGAGACACAGATCACCGAAGAGGACGATCGACACGTTCCCAAACGTATACTACAGGTCATTGCAATCCAATGCAATCAGTTGTTCACTTGCGATGTTTGTTGTGTGTCTTCGTTCAGTTCACCATTGAATGCCGTTTTGATTTGATTATAATTTATTATAACTTTATTATAACTTTATTATGATTTTTTGTGTCAATTATCGCATGATTTTAAGTTGTTTTTTGCATTTTTTGTTGTCCCAAACGCACCCATCCCTGACACCAGTACGAGCTAACTCTGGTCGCATCCGACACTTTGCGCGAAAATCACACCAAAGTTAGAATCCGTGTGAAAGACATTAATGATTTGCCCCCAAAGTTTGATCAAAGCTCTTATGAAACCACTATTCTAGAAGAAGTGTCAGTTGGTCTCCCGAAGAGTATTCTCAAGGTATTTGCCCACACATTAGACCCCAGCTCTACGCTAATGTCATTCACAAATACTCATTAACTTTTGCATTCATTTTTCACTCATTCTGTTTGCTATTATTCACTCACTTTTGACTGTTGTTAACATCTGTTTTGAACTGCTGTCCACTAATTATTTTAAATGTCATTAATTACTTGATTTGTAACGCTATTATTGTACGATTAGGTGACGGCAACCGACGGCGATAGAGACCGTCCGCAGCAAATAGTTTACTTCCTCACAGGTCAGGGCATTGACGACGACGACCCGTCAAACAGCAAGTTTGCCATCAATACTACCACCGGAGAGATATATGTGTTGCGACCGCTGGACCGCGATCTGCCTACAGGTCGGTCGCAGTGGCGCTTCACTGTATTCGCTGAGGACGAGGGCGGCAATGGGTTAGTGGGTTATGCAGATGTGTTGGTCAATCTGAAGGACATCAACGACAACGCGCCCTTCTTTCCATACTCTATATACACGGGTAATGTGACCGAAAACGGAACGGCAGGCATGACTGTCATGACAATGACGGCCACCGATTACGACGACCCGAGCGAAGGACTTCACGCTAAACTCAAATACTCTATCGAACAAAATCAAGTCAATGAAAACGGAGAACTCATTTTCACCATCGATGAGGAAACGGGTGTTATTTCGACAGCCGTTTGCTGTTTAGATCGCGAAACAAATCCCGAATACACTATCAAAGTGGTGGCAATGGATGGCGGAGGGCTGAAAGGCACGGGAACCGCGACCATCAAGATTAAGGACATCAATGACATGCCGCCCGAGTTTACTAAAAAGGATTGGTTCGTCGAAGTGGACGAAACAGAAGGCGATAGTCTGCCAGAAGTGCCCATTTTAGTGGTGTCTGTCAATGACGGAGATTTACTCGAAACCAATCGTTTCAGTTATAAAGTGATTGACAACGCGTTCGGTTCGGACAAGTTTACAATGGTTACCAACTCTGACGGCACCGGTTCTCTCAAAGTGGCCAAACCTCTCGACTACGAAGACCTTCAACAGCGCTACGGATTTAATATTACGATATCAGTGAGCGATAACGGCGGCGAATCGATGGACGCCTATCACGTGGATTACGCCAAAGTGAACGTCAGGTTACGTGATATCAATGATAATAAGCCCGAGTTTGAGAAACCAAACATTGAAGTGACTGTTTTAGAGGACTCAAAGGAAGGCACATCATTGGCCACATTCCTGGCCACCGACGCAGATCAGGGCGGGAAGTCTCGCGTCAGTTACCAAATCGATCGCACGTCGGATAAGCGCCGGCAGTTTGTTATCGACCAAAACGGTGTCGTAAAGATCCAGCGAATGCTCGATCGGGAAGAGACGCCAAGACATCAGGTGAAGATACTGGCCGTCGATGACGGCGTGCCTCCGCGCACAGCAACCGCGACACTCACTGTAGTGGTCGGCGATATCAACGATAACGCGCCGCGATTTTTGAAGGATTACAGACCCGTAATAACTGAACACAACTCTCCCGGAAAGGTAGAGGAAATCTTAGCCACCGATGACGACGACAGGTCTAAAGGCAATGGACCGCCCTTTACGTTCCGAATGGATCCCAACGCACCCGATCTGATTCGAAAGTTCTTTGACGTCCAACACGACCCCAAAGGGGCGAACGGCGACGGAATGGCAATCGTTCAGTCGAAGGAGAAGTTTGATAGAGAGACTCAAAAGGAATATTTAGTTCCCATTATCATCAAAGACAGCGGCTATCCATCGATGACCGGAACGAGTACTTTAACGGTAATAATAGGTGACATAAACGACAACCGGATGCATCCCGGCAGCAAACATATATTCGTCTATAACTTCAAAGGCCAATCGCCGCCCACACAGATCGGCAGAGTTCACGTCGAAGACCTCGACGACTGGGATTTGCCCGACAAGACCTTCTTCTGGGAGGGAAATAACGGCCACCCGTTGTTTGATCTCAATTCGGATGACGGCATGATTACGATGAAGAACGTAACGAACGGCGAATATCTGTTGAGATTCAATGTTTACGACCGAAAGCACACACAAGAAGTGCCCACAAACGTAACGGTTGTGGTGAAAGAGATACCCGAAGAGGCCATCTATAACTCTGGATCCATACGAGTGGCCGGAATCACGGCTGAAGACTTTATTCGCGTTTGGAATTACCAGCAACAGGTCCAGAAGCCATCCATGTACGACCGCTTTAGGTCCGTTTTGGCCCGAGTCTTGAAAGTGAATGAAAACAATTTGGATGTCTTCAGTGTTATCACTAAACAAGAGAGACCTCCGATCACAGACATCAGGTTCGCAGCGCACGGCTCTCCCTATCAGAAGTCAGTCTTTCTCGACGGAGCCGTCAGTTTAAATCGAAGAGTTATTGAACACGAAGTCGGTATTAATATAACATTAGTTGGAATCGATGAGTGCCTCTTCGAGAACGTCCACTGCGAGAGCAGTTGCACTAATGTTCTGGAGATAAACCCGCAGCCAATTGTGGTCAACGCTAATCGAACTTCTTTTGTTGGCGTCAATGTCTGGGTTTGTAATCAGTTTTAATTTTATTTCATACTGTATTCAAATTATATATTTTACGATTCATTTGATAATAATATAAATTGTTTTGTATTTGAATGCTATAACAGACAAAACCGAAGTGTGTTTGCGGTGCACGAGATTTCAGTGAAGTGGAGACGTGTCGCAAAATGCCTGCGCCCTGTCTTAACGGCGGCCGCTGTACCGACTCGTCGGTCGGCATTCTCTGCAAGTGTCCCGAGGGTTATGTCGGACCTCAATGTCAAATGCCTGTGCGTTCCTTCAGAGGCGACGGCTGGGCCTGGTTTTCACCCCTACAACAGTGTCAGGACTCGCATCTTAGTCTCGAGTTTATGACCAGAACACCGAGTGGTCTCATCTTCTATAACGGACCGATTGTGGAGCCAGTGATGGGAATGCGAGCCATAAGAGACTTTATATCACTTGAACTCTTTAGGGGCAAAATTCGCTTTTTGATAGACTTTGGTTCGGGAACCGCAGAACTGACACTCAATCCATCGGGTGATCTGCACGACGGAGAGTGGCATAAAGTGGACATATTCTGGACTAAAGAATCGGCTCGACTTATGAT